TACGTTTGAAGGTTTTGAACATACCTCAGAAAAAAATGTATGTATTAGTAAGGATGTGTGTGTATGTATGGATACAATTTTTCGTTCACGTTTTCGAGCGCACGGATCAACCGATTTGAATGTTTTAAATAAATATTCGATTTCTATTGATAGGGAGATATGCTACTTAGTGTTTAGCAAAGGCGGGTTCAACCTTTTCGGAGATACAATTCAAAAAATGCAGAAAATAAAAATCGAGTTTTTTAGAGAACGAAGCATCCGATTTGAATGATCTAAAAAACATTCAATTCGTAATGACGGGAAGAAGTGGTGATTGTTTTTGACTAAGGCAGGTCCACTGCCTGAGAAAAAATTTGAATGTCGAAAATATTAATTCGAATTTTAATTTCAATTCTAGCTAAAGTTCTAAAGCTCACTTTAGCTACTTCACATAATTATTTTAACTTTGCAATTTAGTTTCTACAATCTTATAAATATTAGACGATGTCTTTCATATTAAATTCGATTGATTGAGTTTTACTTACTTTTTGAATTTTATTTACTTTTCCTGTAAACATATATAAGTTGCTGCGGTATTCATAATAATCTATTTGAAAACATTTAACATTCATCGAATTTCATATATACCGAACTTTATTACGGTACGGGAAGTTACAGCAATTTGCCTTAAGGCACGTTGCCATACACCACTAGTTTATATTTATCCCCATTTATCTATGGGGTAGGCGATTTGTGGTATCATTATATATAAATAAGCTTAAATAGAATACCAGGGCTATATGTTTATTTGTCTATCAGGGCTTGAGGGCTACTCATGAATTATTAACTTCCAGTGTAGGGTAAGTTATAGTAATCGCATAAAAATCGAGAATTAAAGTTTTATATATCTTCACGTTTTAGAGATTTCTGAACATTTGGAATACCTTAGAAAAATGAATGTATGTGTGTGTGCGCGCGGATACAAATTTTCGTCGACGATTTCGGGAACACCGATTAACCGATTTGAATAATTTAAAAAACATTCAATTCGTATTGATAAGGAGACGTGCTGATTAGTTTTTGGCAAAGACAGGTCTAGCCATTCCGAAGATACGGGGCAAAAAGTCCCAAAAATGGTAACGGAAAGAGAATGGAGTGTCCGATTTTAAAACATTTTACTTGTATAGACAAAAACTGATTAAATTTTTGGGAAGGCAGGTCTAGCGGTTTCGGAAATTTAGTAAGAATAGTGAAAAAAAATGCCATTTGGCGGTCAAAAATGATAGACATATGTTCATCAAATTATCAGATATTTATAGAGATTTTAATAAAAACGAATAAATTTTGTTTATATTTCTATGGGTTCCGTAAAATCGTTTTATCCGTTAGACGGCGACGCGGCGCTTTTACGCGTTTCGATAATTCGTCTCTATGCAGCTGAAGCAGTACGATTGCTTTGAAAAAAAGTTCAACATTTCCAAAATATTTCAAAATAAAACAAAACATTTTTTCAAAACCTCAATTTTTACGATTTTAACGATTTAAAACTTCTCGAGCCTAATTTTTTAAAAGTTAAAAAAAAATCTTTTTCAAAAAAAATAATTTTTGATACGGGAAGCTCCAGCAATTCGCCTTAAGGTACGATGCCATACACCATGGCCGGTAATCTCGGAACAAACGTCTGTAACCCGAGTTTAGTTAGAGCCCCTGCCGCCGGTCGCGCTTGTCTTTTTTTTTTTTTTTTTTTTTTCACTTTGAAATCGAATTTGACATATGACAGATACGTAAATCAAACATGGCGTCCATTGTAATAAATTTTTCATGAAGAGATAACCTAGACAATATAATAAATGCTTGTTAAAGTAAAAAACAAATAAGCTGTCGAAGTGCATTGTTTAACGATGAAGAAATACCAAGAAAAATGCATGTATTATGTAGTTCCAGCGAGAAACGACGAAGTAAAAGTAAAATAGTTAATAATATTTGCCGGCTTTCAATCTAAGTGAGTACTTTTATTAATATGCATACTTCGAATTACTTTCATTTGATTGTACTATTCTGATATGATTTTTCATTACAGTTTAATAATTCAGAAATAATTGAGACATTTAACTATATCAATACTAGAAATTTTAAGGTTATAAATAGATAGAGAGAATTCCTGTCAGCTTTCTGAAAGGTATGTTATTAAATAACTAAATATAAATTATTCTTGTTCTAATAATGTAGGATCATAACTAATAATTCTACATCAATTTTTTCAGCAGTATAAAAGGAAAATACGTTTAAATGTAAAATGTTTAGACGGTTTACTAAACACATTCACAAGTATACAAGTATTGATACGAGATGAATGAATACACAGGAAAAAACAATAAGAATGAAGTCTGAAATGTGCTGAAATCTTTGCTGATCTCCCACTAATATTGAACAGTAGGACTCGTAATTATATATTAAGTCAGTTTGGAGAACATACTAAAAACACTAATGATATAATCGTAAGTGGAAGGAAATTCTCAATTAATGGTGAAATTCTAGCTAGTGCAAAGGTTAATTTAGGTTTGGCTATGTCACAGGAAAAGTTTTTAAGTATTAATAATTTTATTGATTCATTGATATTACAAGAAATATTATTATCTGTGTTGTTTAATGATGATAAAGGGAATCACATTGTATAGATTTTCAGGAACTGTCAAATGACAGGCAAAGTATAATCATGATTAATGATAAAATTCTACCTAGTGCAAAGGGATAAAACACCCTTAATGTGCACTGCTTATTGCATTTGACTATTCTGAAAGAGTTGTCAATAGCTTTACTCTAAAATGTCTTATTGTAGATGCTATAAGAAAACTATTAAGTACTGTTATGATAATATCAATGATTGTTGTTTTTCTTTAAGACAATGATAATAATGACATTTTGAACAAACATTTGAATGCACATTAACAATAGCGCAGAAAAGATTCCCAAATAGAGACTGTACATCATAGATATTATGTAACTTAATGTAAATCAAAATAAATATATATGTAAATATATATATATATATATATATATATATACACATGCAGGCCTTATCTATGCATGCAGGTATGAATTGTGGTTATATATGTATATGTATATATATAAATAATATCTACTTTCATGTACATTTCTATTCTTTTTGTGCTCAGCTTGAAAGGCTGATATGCTAAAATGATATTACACACACATATATATATGTATATATATATATATATGTTAAAGTAGTTAATTTTGATGTTGAGAAATATGAGTAAGTTCTTCAAGGGCATACATCAAATAAAAGGCAAAGATTTAGAAGTTAATCTTTAATTTTTCCAAATGTTTCGACATAGTATTTTATGTCATCATCAGTGGATCTACAGAATGAATATTGAAAAATTAATATAAACTAGGAAAAAATGACAGAAATTGGAAAAAGAACTATAGATATAAGTAATATAATTATAACAATAACAATTATACTTAACAGATAGATAAACAAGAGAAATGAAAAGTAAAAAGAAATATATACAAACATACAAAAGCGTAATATATATATACATAAATATACACACAAACAAACGTGTATATATGATATACATGTAAAAACACGTACACATATGCATATATACATACGAACAATACGTATATATAAACATATACATACGGACATGTACATATGTATATATACACATATATACATACATACACATACACGTATACACATATACATACATACATATATATACACATATATATATATATATATATACATATATATATATATATACATACATATGCAATATGTATGTATTGCATATGTATGTATATATATATATGTATATATATATATATATATATATATATATATGTGTATATATATGTATGTATGTATATGTGTATACGTGTATGTGTATGTATGTATATATGTGTATATATACATATGTACATGTCCGTATGTATATGTTTATATATACGTATTGTTCGTATGTATATATGCATATGTGTACGTGTTTTTACATGTATATCATATATACACGTTTGTTTGTGTGTATATTTATGTATATATATTACGCTTTTGTATGTTTGTATATATTTCTTTTTACTTTTCATTTCTCTTGTTTATCTATCTGTTAAGTATAATTGTTATTGTTATAATTATATTACTTATATCTATAGTTCTTTTTCCAATTTCTGTCATTTTTTCCTAGTTTATATTAATTTTTCAATATTCATTCTGTAGATCCACTGATGATGACATAAAATACTATGTCGAAACGTTTGGAAAAATTAAAGATTAACTTCTAAATCTTTGCCTTTTATTTGATGTATGCCCTTGAAGAACTTACTCATATATATATATATATATATATATATATATATATATATATATATATATATATATATATATACATTGTGGATAGCGTGTACATTTATGTACATTTTTATGATTTTCGCACATAGTTTATACAGCTTACTACCATCTATTATAATCATATATAATGTTATATATATATATATATATATATATATATATATATACACATTGTGGATAATGTGTATATTTATGTACATTTCTATGCTATGTGTGCATTGTTTATAAAGAGAACTATGTAGATATAATGTAGAATGTTTTTGTGAAAAATAAATGCTTTTAAAATTTTTTTTTTTTTCAATTTTTCTTTTTTTAAATTTTGAATTAAAACGGTCCATATAATTTTGGTTCATTTCTATAGTATTTTTTATACGCACCCGTTCAGGCGACTAGTGCCATCTGTAGCGGGGGGCTTCAACTAACACAGGAATGTGGCAACGAAATATGGCCCGAGAGAGCGATCTATATACTCTTCTTTTATCTATGCCATACACCACTAGTATGAATACCATAGATACAAGATAAATAAGCATAATAAAAGTCACAGGTGGCACCATCTCTCAGTTTGAGCGCTCACGAGATGTCAATGATATGTCAAATTAGCGGAGAATGTATGTACAGTTAGAAGTTATGACAGAATGGTTTCTGTAAAATACTAATAATTCTTTAAATCATTAAGTAATTTTCATATTAATGTCATTGTGCAACTTTTATGTGTGATAGTGCGTTGAAAGCACAATTACATTTATTAGTTGCTAGTTAAACTTTTTATTTCAATCAATGTTTTAGCGACGTACCGTTATGTGTAAAATTCAGCGTACCAATTCGCAATTTAATAGTGCAGTGACCCACAAAATTAATTTTTATAATAAATGACATATCATTTATATGAGCTACTTTAATATATTCATTTTATTTTTATACTGCACTTTAAATTTTTTTAAAAATGTTTTGTATATAACGTTTTGTTCTGGTCTTGTTACGTTTGAGGCAGCTTTCTTTTAAAAATAAATAAAAAAAAACAATGGCTTTGCGTAGATCTCATGGTTATGAAGAAATGGATGGCACAAGCCATCCAGAAAATATAAATGATTCTACTGCAAATATCTCTCCAACTGCTATTTCCAGTACAGATCATTTTACTGCTCAAGAAATAGAATTAACTACAGTTAGCGTTGTACCAGATGGTATGTGGTTAATCATAATAATCCAAGCTACTTTAAGTAATAGCTTAACAAAATATCTTTCTTTATATAGACACATTTACTGTACCCCAGGCTGTCAATGCGTTAGGTTTTGGTTGGTTTCAAGTAAAGCTTTCGCTAGCAACTGGATTATGCTGGATGGCAGACTCTATGGAGATGTCTATTTTGAGTATGCTAGCACCAGCTCTGCATTGCCATTGGGGAATCTCCAAGTATTCAATTATTTTTTTTACTATTCTTTTGTTTGGCACAAGAATATTTGTAGCAAAACTATTCAAAAATAAATTAAAAATCAAACTCTGTACTAATGAAATTTAACATTGTGCATTTTATATAGAAAATAAGTAAAAATTACTTAACAGAATATGGCTTTATTGCATATATAAAACAGTATAAAATATTAAAATTTATGAGATCATGTTTATTTATTGAAATACAAGATATATTATATTATCATGATAGTTGAAATATATATTATTATTACGAAAAAACTATATATTTACTACAGATATCAGCAAGCGCTAGTTACAACAGTAGTATTTATGGGAATGATGCTGAGTTCAACATTTTGGGGCCATCTTAGTGATAGATATGGAAGGAAACCAGTAAGATTATTAAATTATATAATATGATCTGGTTTGTACATTATAATATCTCTAGTACTTATTAAACCAAACAATGAATGTAATTTTTTATATATATTTTATAGTTTATAAATAATTATTCTCAAGTAATATTTTGGAATATATTATATAAATACTTCTCGTTTTCATTTAATATTAAAACAATACCTCAAATATACATTCCAAATATTACTCTTAAAATAATTCATATTTAATTTGTTTTATTTTCAGGCTTTGACACTATGTTCTGTTTTATTATTATTGTATGGACTATTGAGTGCAGTAGCTCCTAGTTTTCTCTGGTTGCTTTTACTAAGAGGTCTTGTAGGCTTTGCTATTGGATGTGTACCACAATCGTGAGTAATATATTTGAAAGAGTTAGCTAGAATTTTGGGATTTGTTTTTAGTTCATTTTTTTTCTTTGTAAATCATTTATATATTTTGATTTCACCAATGTACATGTATTTCATTTCATGCATCTTCAAATGTGCTTTCTGTGGATTTTTTGTTTTATTACTTCAAGAGTTACACTTTATGCTGAATTTCTACCAACTCAACAAAGAGCTAAGTGTGTAGTTCTTTTAGATGTAAGTTTATCATTCATGTTTTATACTTTTATCATTATAATTTCTTGTTTACATTAATGTTTTTAAAATGCATCATTTCCATTTTATTCATGTCATGTTTGTGAGAGCACTTTTGATTTGCTCATTATTTAAAAAACTAAATATCTAGTAAAAAGACTTTAAAATATTATAAAGCATAAGTTCAAATTATTTTTAGTTATATTTTAATGATTTTTAATTTTGGTTTTAATATTATTTTATTAATGATAGTTTTCCGTAAAGTTAAGCTGATGATATATTTGATAATACATAATAACTAATAACTAATTCACTTTGCAGTTTTAGTTGATTTTTTTTAAATTTTTGCTGAATTTTTAAAATAATTTTTATTGAAAAAATATTTGTTCTGCTGCCCAACCATACACTTAAACCCCAAATATTTTGATTTAATTATTTTATTGCATGATGAGCTTCTGGGTGGTATTTTTAAAAAATATAATTTAATCACTAAAATCAGAAGATATTTGTTTTAGTGTTTTTGGGCACTTGGTGCGTGCCTAGAAGTCGTATTGGCACTTGCAGTCATGCCCACTCTAGGATGGCGTTGGCTTTTAGGATTATCCACAATACCATTGTTGGCATTCGCTATAGTTACTCCAGTACATAATTGAATTATATGATATACTTAATTTTAATTCCTATAGTTATAATAGAAATATTTTAGTGGCTACCGGAGTCTGCTAGGTATCATATTGCTTGTGGTCAAACTGAGAAAGCTTTATCAACACTACATCAGGTGAATTTATTAATCAATATTTTGAAATTTAAAAATAACTACAAAACCAAATAAGTTGGAAAAATATTTTATTATTTACAAAATTTATCCATTAACCCTTATCGGTCGGAAATCACCTGTGACGTGACAAGAATACTTTGACGCTAATGACTGATAAGGGTTGAAGTCATAATATTTCATTGTGAAATGTATAATTTGCTTTGACACTTACCATAATTAATAGTTAATAAGACGATTTTTTGAAATTTTCAGTTACATAACTGAAATTACAAACTTCAGATATTAAACTAATGCACTATTATGTATTATTATTTATTGTGCTTTTTCTTTTCTTTATTAGGTTGCTAAAGATAATGGTAGACCAATGCTGCTAGGTCGATTGGTTTTAGATGGTAATGGCAGTGTTATGAAAAATGACTTAAACAGAGGTCGTTTAATGGGATTATTAGCACCACACTTGCGCCAAACATCTCTTCTTTTATGGGCAATTTGGTAAATATATATAGGGTGTCCCAGACCTTGACGTTAAGCCAAATCTCATGTTGGGAAATTATGAGTTTTTATCTTTTTATGATTCATTATTAAAAAACACATACATCCCTAAATTTTTACTCTTCTACAACCAATCCCTATTCTGTAATAAACATCTTAGTAATCAAATTTTTCATATAGCACGATAACTGAACAATTATTGTCTTTTCTGTTCAAGTTTTTCATTGAATTTAGATCAAAATTTTTGAGATCTGCTGAAACATTTTTAAAACCATTTTTATATATTGGAGATGGCAAGATTGAAACCAATAAAACTAGATGAATCAAGTTATCCATCAATTCTTGCATAATCACTGATTTGCAGAATTATCCTATTGTACAAATATTTTTCTTGATGTGCACCAAAAGTTCTTAGTTTTTGAATGGCTTGCAAAAAGAGAGTTTTAACAAAAAGAAAGTACAATACAAATCTATGGCAAAGCTGTGCACTTTGCCGCAACCTCACTCGATTTGCTAAACATGCCATAACATAATTCACAAATGAATGTATGGATTTAGCTTTGTAGGTAAAAAATAAATGAATTAATGAAAAGCTCTGTAATAATATATTACCACCTTGAATCTTCAAATGTGCCAATTCAATTGAAATGAAATCAGTTTCAGATTAGGCTTGCATGTGCAAAGACTATTAATGTCCCAGGAATATTTGGGACATGCATTTCAGTGGGTAAACCATCCATATAGTTGGTGTTTTCCCTTTCACATAGTTACCACCTAGTTCTGCATTCATAATCAGTTACTATTTTATACTAAAATTTTTCTAGAAATATTTATGGCTCGACTGCATTTACCGGGCCAGCTAGTATATATATATATATAAAAAAATTAAATGAATGAATAGGGTGTATGTGTGTGTGTATGTATATATATATATATATATATATATAATATAGAATTTTGTGATATGAGTGGAACGAATATTAATTGTTAAATATGAACAATACAACACTCAGATTTTTAACCCACGCTTTAATTTAATCATCACAGACGTTTCGAGACCATGGTATATCTGGTCTTCAGTTTAATTTAACAGTAAAAACTATATACTAATAATACATTCGAAAAGTCCAAACTATTAACATTGATTCTGCCATGCTCTGTTTAAATAAGTCTTTTTTTATGGAATTAGTTTTGGGGATTATAAAATCAAACTTATGGTTCCTGATATTAGCATGATACACAAGCGTACTTTTAAATTTTTCATTATCTTTTTTTTTTTTGCATGGTAATTCATGTTGCCTGAGTTTCTTTATCTAAGTTCTGACAAGTCTGGCTAATGAATTACAATGCGAAAAAATAGATAATAAAAATTCAAAGGTATGCTTGTGGATAATGCTAATATCAACAACCATAAGTTTGATATTGAGAATCCATATTCCATGAAAAAGACTCATTTAAACGGAACATCGCAGAATCAATGCCATGCTCCGTTCGGACTAACAATAGCGCAAATCTGAGAACCGTCACAAATATTTTACACGACTCTTATATAAACATCATTAATAATTAATAATTTTTTTCATTTATCTTATTCTCTTCAATAAATTAATCTGTTTTCACATTAGTTGATTTTAGTATTCGATCGCGCCATTCTTTTTGTTTACATTGTAATAATATCCATTCTTGTCTCTTCTTCTTCGACACCTAAGATTTGTTTTCAAATATTTCTGTACATATTCACATGTTTAGTACTGTGTCAATCATTGTAAGAGATAGTTGGTGTTTTTTGTTTTTTAAGAATTAAATATAATTTGAATAAACTATTAAATAATGTATTATTATATAATTTTTCTGTTTTGAATTACATTGAAAATGAGGCATGAAAATGACCATGGTCTCGAAACGTCTGTAGTTATTAAATAAAGTGTTTGTTAAAAATCTGAATGTTGTATTCATATTTAACATTTATATTTATATATATATATATATATATATATATATATATATAATCAATATATAAATCAATCAATGTATTTTTTAGGATGGCATGTGCTTTTTGCTATTATGGTTTAGTGTTAATGACAACTGAACTTTTTGCACCAGTTACTATGACTAATTTAAATGAAACTGTGAAAACCTTGCATGAAGTCATATTGTTTAATTCTTCGAGCATAGGGAATATGACATTTGATAATCAAACAGTGATCAATACTTGTCACCCTCTTACGACCCCAGATTATATGGATTTGTTATGGACAACCCTTGCTGAGTTTCCAGGTATAGACAATGTTTTTGTATTTGAGCAATTTTAATGTAAACCATTATTGTCTTTCCAAAGGAGACCCTTATGTTTTTTCCAGTAAATTCGGTTTATTAATTTTGTTTTAGCGTCATTTTAATTCATTCTGAATTGTTTCACACTAAAATTAAAAATAGTACACACACATGTACATACACAGATGAAACTTGATAAGGATTTGCGTTGTGTTTTGAGAGACAAATTAGTGAAAAAGTGCATAATTTGTTGTTGAACGTCTCACGAAAAATCTTGGACCGCTTTTCTGAATAAGTTAGGCGTTCATCGCGTTGATTTTTTTTACGTTTTTATTGAAACTTTGTA